CTGAAGGTGACACCTGATAAGAATTCCTGCAGTTTTGTCTAGTTTGTGCCATTTTCAGCCCCCAATCAGTCCTGGAAACCTGCATCAAAAATATGCTAAGGCTGTGTGCTTTGTTTCTCACATGGTTGGGCCTAAATTTGACACTTCCTGAAATGTTTTGCATGACAAAGCTCATAGTTAAGATGCTAAAACTAAGTCTTGAGGATCTGAGATAGAAAATAGACCTCAAAAATCGAGAAAACCCGAATTATGGCTTTCTTTGCTGAGTTAGGTCTGTTGTCCATATAAAATGAAATTTAAGGCTCTGACATTGCCTATGCTGTTGTAGTACATGAACACCTTGAATTGCTGAAGTTTTGTTCTGCCCTTTACTTGAATTTTGGAAATATTGTTCCTTCTTGTCTCCATCAGCTTCGCTGTTGTTGTTGGTGACATCCTGAATGTGTTTTGGTTGATGATATGATGTAGGTGATAGCCAGGCTGTTCACGTTTGTGAACATGAAAAAGTGTCACCTGAAAGGTGTCCTGTCATGTACAGAGTGTTGGGTTTGTCCCTAATTACCACGAGCAAAGGACAGAGTTGCTTAGAGAAGCTTCATAATTTCTGCTACCACGATGAGAATAAATCACCTGGATTTTCTTGGCCATCACCTGTACATGGGGTGAATCTGGAGAAAATTCTAATCAGAGAGAAAGCAAAGGTCAGATTTAATTAATGGAGATAGAGGTAATCATTTTTCTTGATAATGAATTCAGCAAATCATATGAATTCCTTTCTAGCCCTGTTCAGCTTTCAGCACTGAAGCAGTTCCTGTCGGTTGATGCTTTTGAGGAACGATGGGAGTATTTTTGCATTTGTTTTGGTTGAAAGAGTATTTGAGTCAGTGTGGAGCAGATGGAGCCTCTGACTGTAAAAAGTGATTTTCAGTATGGCAGGACAGGAAGTGTCTGTTTAAATATTTATACAATATCTGAACAGTGGGCCTAAACCATTGTTTTGCTCTTGTGAAACACAGTGATTAAAGGAAAAAAATAGTTCATCTTTAAATATTCCATGAATAAATTTGCTTCCTAGGAGGCATGGGGAAGTGGGAAACACCAAAACCAAACAACCCTACATAAAACAATAATAACCCCCCCCACACACACCAGTGAGATACTGTAACACTCTGGAATGAAAAGAACCTGGGATGTGAACCAAATATTCCTGTCTGACGGTGGGATTTGTTTTCTAATTAAAATGTGAAACTAATATGATGCATCTCCAGTTCACCTGGTGCCAAGAACTAAGAAATTGTGGAAGTGGTTGAGGCAAACGCTTTTTAAAGAATGAAGCTGGTGAAGAAGGATGGTGCTGTTTAGGACAGATTTGCTGGGGTTGCAGAACTGTGAATTCTCTCTCTGGGGGCCGTGTGGGTTTTTTGTACTTCCATTGCTCTTCCTCTCTTGAGAGCACTGATTTACTTCTGTGATAAACCCATAACAACAGGGGGATCACACTGCAGAAATGAGTTTAGCTGCAAGGGATACATAATGTCAGCTGAAAAATAGCACTTGGGAAATACGTTTTGGCCATGGTTCAGCAAAAAGCAGATCCTGTCAGCTACGAAATGCTCTGTTTGCTTGAAAGTGTCTTTTAGTTGAGCAGAATCACAGAGCCTCTGCCTTTTTGGAAAATAGAAATGCTGGTCTGTCACAGTGTTATATCTGTGGCCCTGACAAGGCTGGTGTGGATCATTTCAGTTCCTGGGACATTTGTTCTCTGACATAACCTCGAGAGGGGAAGAATGTGGGGAAGTGAGTGGCACCTGAGCCTACATCTAGGGCTGTCCCTTGGGTCCTGGGTGAGGAAATGGCTTTCAACAGTCTATTATCGTGGGATGCTCAGCTGGCATCGATTCTGTCTGTGCCATCTGCCCATGCGAAGTCAAGGCTGTTCTGAACTGTGAGATCAAAACAGGGGAAAATGTAACAGGTAGAAAGTAGAAACCTGAACAGGGTGTGACTGCCTTCTCCATAATCTCTGTGGGTGGGGGACAGGGCCTGGTGCTGCCTTCCTGATCATCCCTAAGAATGAAGAGTCTTAACATGCAACCCGTAGCCACCGTTGTGTGGCGCAGACATTTCCAGTTTTAGAATCTGCACTGAAGTTCCTCAAGCTGTGAAGAAAAAAAAAAAAAGACTTAAATAACTGTTTCTGTCAGGGCTTCAGGTAGTTGGAACTGGGGGATTTCGTTGGTGTAAACATTCCAGCAGTGATAATCTGCCCTTGTTCCACCTCAGCCAGGAAATGGGGGGAGGGAGCATTGTTCTGCAAATGCGTTGTGAACCAGGAAATTTTCCTGTGAGCAGTGTTGTGTTTATATACCAGCGTTCAGAGTATCAGTCTTGCCAGAGGAGACGTCAGACAATCCTCCTGTTTTCGTCTCTGCTCTTGTTGAAGCACCAAACCATATGGCAAATTAAGCCTGATTTTTATTAAACTTTTCATTGTGCTGAGCTTGGTGCGAACTGGGAAATGCACTTTCTTTGAACTATGGAGCCATTATGTAAGCATCTTAATTAGGAGATGTTAATGTTCTCCCCTGCATTCCTGGGAGTTTGCAGCTCCCTCTCGTGGCTAATTAAGCGGTTTTAAGAATCCAAAAATTACTCAGTGAGATGATGACAGCGGTGCCGTGGCACACGGAGCAGCTCCTGGGCTGTGCGGCAAGATCAAGCACGAGGTGCTGTGCAATAACTGGATGCACAGACGTCTCTGAGACACAGATAAAAGATAAAGGTCTGCTCAGAGTTGCACCCTGAACGTGACAGATCCCTGAAGCTTTAAAAAAAGCTGAGTGGGCACATCCAGAAAAACTTTGTTGTTCCCGCACATTAGAGATGCTGCCCCAGTGGGGTTTGAGATATGGGATATGTCAGAGCTCCAAGGAGTACAAATCTTTCAGGTACCACGTTGGGATGTCTTGCGATCCACTTCAAGGTTAAGATCTTTGCTAGATGAAATTTTCCTTCCAGTCAGGTTTTCAGGGACCGTTCTTATTCCTTCTTATTCTTATTCTTTCTTATTCTACTTCTGCCTTTCCATCTGGCAGATTTTTGATAAATTCCCTTGCAGTGCTCAACATTTGTTCTGCTTTATTTCTGTGGCTTGTTAGAGCTGGGGCATTGTGCCCATACTGCATCTTAAATTTGTCATAAAGAGGCAATATTTGATGGCTCTGGTGGAAATGGCTGTAGTGGAAACATCTCTGAGTTAGATTTTTGTGCTGGCCTGGGGCTGATTTCAGACCTTTCAAACCACTTTTCTTATACTGGATGGGAAGGTGCACTTGGCTCGGAATAAATCTCAGACATCAGGGCAGAAAAATGATCAATTCCTCTTTTTCCTAAAAAAATGAGCAATTATCACGACATTGCAAAATCTTGAGCTTAAAAAAAAAAAAACCACAAATGTTTTTAGGCTTTATGTAAAAAATACCAGACTGACCAGCAGGTAACTTTTCAGTAGGAGCCATTAAGTTTCAATCTCATCACAAAACCAGAAATCACAAAAGTGACTTCGCCCTTTTGTCACCTGCAGTGTTGTTTTGGCATCACGTACTCAAAAAATGCCCCCAAAATTTTCTTCCTTTAGAGTTTCTGAGCGTTGGAAGGAGGAATTAAAAAAAAAAAAAAAAAAAAAAAGTGAAACAGGTTTTTACTTTGAAATTTCTCCCATCCCCAAAGGGTTTGTGAATGGAAACTTTATCTCTGAAAATGCTGATTTCCTACTTCGTAACTTGTGGCAATTTTTTTCTCAATTAAAATAAAGGAATAATGATTATGGAGTTAAGTCAAAATCTCACTGGCCAGTAATCTGCAAACCAGTGTTGCTGAACCCCCAGCAATAGGGCAGCAAACATTTATTTCCTCAGGGACATTATTAAACAACCTGCATATTTATTATCTCCAAATTGGAGCAGGTCCAGATTTCTAAGGCGACTTTTTCCCTTTCCTTTTCCTGAGCTGTGATCCAGACCAGCATATAAATTTTTGACTTAATGTTTCTGCAGAAATATTAGTGGTCTGAAATTGCTGGAAACAAAAGAACATGGAACAGCAGCGGGAAGGAACGATTTGGCAAAACAGTCAGCCTTAAAGGGCCAAAATTAATTGAAAATCCTTCAGATTCTGATGCACAAATACAAATTTGCAAATCATGTAGCTTATAACCAACACTGTGTAACTCTGTAAGCTTGTAAATGCTACTGTCACTAATGTGAGAGTGACTTGAAATTGGATTTTTAGGGATTTCTTTCTTGTGGGAAATAAGGTGAGAGTGACAAGGAGTTATTTGTGTGTATACCTATATGTACAAATTTGGGAATGGACTAATTCCAGCTGTGTGACTAAGCACAGTTCTGGGCAGGATACTCAGATATTTTCCCCTTAATTTAAAATCTTGGGACAGGAGGAGTGTAAAAGCTAATAGAGGAGGGGGGGATAAAAGCAACTTGAAAATAGTCTGGTTTGTAGTGACTTCACAATGGCTCATAAAAAGGATGGACTAGTTGGGAAACCTTGTGTGATGATTCTCTGGTGTGAAGAAGGTTGTTGTGAAATAAGTGTGTTCCATGACAACCAGTACAAATGTCTCTTTTCTGTCTTTTATTTTCCTTTTTTTTTTTTTTTTGTACATTTGTGCAGTTTTATCAATTTAACTAAAAAAATGGCATTAAATGAAACGTTAAATTCTAGAGAGAGAGTGATCACAGTAGTGATGGAAGAGTAGAAACTTCAGGTAGTTAAATAGAAGACAGTAAATACAACATAGGAACTGGTTAAGGACACGAGCAGCTTTTCCAGGATTTAGCACAAGATCTGCATGACTGAAATCCTACTTTATATTACATTTTATTGGCAGGGAATACACCTCAGCATTAGGTAAAAGGCTGAATGGCTTCAGAATGATTTTAAAAGCTGCTAATATGGCCTGTCACTTGTTTTCTGCCACGCAGGTCATCAGGAGTGAAGGGACTGAGGGAGCAAAGTTTCGACTCTCTGGGAAGGGAGTGGATCAAGACCCGAGAGGGATTTTTAGGATCAATGAGGTCACTGGGGATGTGTCTGTGACCCGAACCCTTGACAGAGAAGCCATTGCCAATTACGAGGTGAGTACTCACAGCAGGAACGTCTCTGCCTCCCTGTTGCTGGTGTGTATTTTTGGTGTGTTTGCTCTTGAAAGATGTGCAGTTAAATTGAGGACTGAATTGCAGCCCCTGTGCTATAAAATTTCCATTTGTCCTCTGGAAATGGTAAATGTGTTTATTTTTACATGCAGCTGAAACCCTCCTCTGCTTTCTGAATGGAACTTCTGCCATTTATCTTCAGTAGAAATGCTGTCTGAACGTTGGGGGTGTGTTTGATTTGTGAAGGCAAAATTTTGTTTGGACAAAAGGAGATCTTTTGGGGAAGTTGCCACTGTGGTACTGCAGGGTTATACTTTATTATTGTCAAACAGTCAATGGAATGTACTGTGGAACTCCACTTTTGGTAATGGATGTCTTTATTAGAGATAAAGGAGATGCTGACAATATCAAAATGTTAGCAGATTTCTCTCAGATGTATATCGCCTGCAAAGATTCCTTTCCTTGTCAATAAATCCTGTGTTTCTCCCCACTGAATCTCTAACAAATGAGTTCTGAGATCTGCAAAATTACTGCTCCACAATGCCCTGAAATGCATCCTGTGCACAGAGGATCTGCCCGTTCATGTTCTCTATCCTGCTCTGGAAATGTGCAGTCAGATGAACTATGTCTGGCCACCTGCCTGGAGAGGGGCAGCCGAATTCCAGATGGAATTGTGTCACAGGCTGGGGGACTGATCTGCAAACCCTCTGGCAGCAGGAAGCACCTGGTGGGGCACTGGCTCTGGGGACAGCCCTGACCTCTGTTGTCTGCTGCTGAGCAGTGATCAATACTCGTACTTCCAGTGCTGTGTCCCTCCTCCTTTGGGAGAGTGTGCCAGTCAGATGACTAGTCATCCTTCCTCAAACAGCACTGCTAAAATTTACCATATGTTGGTTTTCAACACTTAAACATCTACTTCTTCAGTGGGTCTGCAGTGAAATGTATGTTAACCACTCACACAGGGTTTATGGGAGATGCTGACGTCCTTCTGCAGGGAAAACATTGCAGTTTCTCTTTTTAACACTGTTCCTCGTCTTCATTTACCAGCTGTTTCTTATTTTATCAGTAGCTTCCCACTTTAATGTGTTTGCTACAAACCTTGAATATTTTTTTGCTGGAAAACCAGAGTGGAGAAGTTGTGCAGGAGAACCCTCAGCTTGACTACCCTGTCTCCGAATCCAGCCCATTGTTTCCCAGTACAGATGTGTCAGGGAGGCAGCAGGATTTTCTCCCTGCATTCCTTGGTACACTGACAGGTGAATAACCTAAAAAACCTCTCTCTCAGAAAGTGTTTTCTGGTGTTGTTTGAGCTTCTCCCTGCCCAATATTGATGTTGTGAGAGAAATTTCAAAGCAAAAGGCAAACGAGGAAAGAATAGATCACTGCGAAAAAATACAAGTCATCATGCTATCAAGTGTATAAACAGCGATGATTATAATATAAAATAATATATAATATAAAAAGTATTTTATAAATACTCTAAAAGGATGAAATCTGAATCCTTCAGCTCCACAGAGGGAAGCTGTGCCTGAGCACTGATTTACTCCCTGTGCTTAGTGCATATGTACTCCAGGACTGGGAATTTAAAAATGTTAATAGGGCACAAAGTAGAGCTTTGCTGATCATATATTTCATAGAACTTTGCAGATTTTACCTCCTCAAAATGTTTTAAATTAGTTGAAAATATTTAATTGCTTATAAAAGTTTGGTTTTTCTTTCTCCTGGAGACTTTAGGTGGATTTTCTAGTCTGAATCAATGAGGTACACACCATCCAAAAGCTGCCAATAAGCTGTGCAATTCAGGGTTCACTTCAGCCCCACAGTCCTTCCTGATTCCAGCAGAGGAGAAACAGTGACTTTTCAGTTCTGTCTTTGAGCAAAATAAATCAAATGCTTGTATAAAGAGCTGTGATAACAGGGCTGAAGGATTCCGCTGAAGCTGGAAGGCTACTTGTGTTCAGTGTTGATAAAACACCAGTGAATTGGGAAACAAAGGGTCAAATAGAGGGCCAGTGAAAGTAGAGCTCTGAAAACCGGTGATTGTGGGGTAATCTGTTAATTAAAAGCCCTGAGCTCATTTTCAAAAGCTGACATTTACCTGGATGATGTATTTGTAGGCAGAATGCCTTGATGCAAGTAAAAGCAGGAAGAGTTGCATGGATTGATTACTATGGCCAAGGTGACAAAGTTGCTTGGTTAAACTAAGTGTTCTTTACTCGGAGTTTGTTAGGTACAGGAGAATTTGGAACAATATTTCGTTGAGTTTTTACTGAGGTGCATGAGATTTTGGGTTAGGCATTCCTTGAGTGCAGGGCAAACCCAGCTCTGTAACCTCTTCAGCATCAGAGCCAAAGTGCCACTGGGATGTTCCAATCTCAAGATTTTAAAGGGGGTTGCCACTTTTGATTGGCTTTTTCATAACTGCTTGCCAAGTGTAAATATGTGTGGAAGAGAAATAATCCCAAAGTGATCCTCTGCAAGCATGAAAGGAAGCAGCTTGATAAAACTGTTCAGTGACAGTGTGCAAATTAAAGCTGTGACCAAATTTACCTAGGCAATTTGAACCGCTAATGAAGAGTTAGTTTTAATTATTTTTTTAAGTAAAGAGCCTTATTTGCTTTAGAAAATACTTAACAAGCAGAGGTGTGAAATCAGCTCTCAGCTCTTTTTATAATGACAGATCACACTTCTGTTAAAGGATGCCTTGCAACTGGTGGTGACAGACTGAGATATTTAGAAAACTTATGTTAACAGGACCGAAAAAGCAAATTGGGAGTGTGTAGTTCTGCGTGGTATTGTTCCTGTAAATCGGGTGGCAAATGGATTGAGAAGAGGCGGAAGATTTCAGGCCTATCAACAGCAACCAACAGGGTAGGTGTCCAATGGACTCCATTTCTGTGTTGGATTTGCAACAGATGATGGAAATACCTCACAGTGAGGAGGAAAACCAGCTTGGTCAGGTGCTGAGGAGTGTTTTTTGAGCCAGATGTGGAAGTGCTTCAGTGCATTTTTGCAGCTCCCGAAAGCGTTCCTGTAGCAAAGCCCCAGGCGGGAACAGCTGTAATTTATGGTGAGCAGGAGAAGGGATCTGTCCTGTGTGTGAGTCTGGTTTAGTGCAGCCACATCCTTTCCAGAGTGATTTATCACACCCTGACACTGAATCCCTGCAATGTGCAGGGTGCAGATCCGTGGACAGCACACAAACATGCTGCTCTTTCCCAAGGAAAACCACGGGTTTGCCTCTGACTTCAAGGCTGGTCTGAAATGTGGTTTAATCTTGGGTTTTCTGCCCTGGCTGGTTGGTCTGAAGTGCCCTGATCTGCTGTGTCCTGGCCTGAAACCTGATGGGGAATGTCATCTCCCACTAATATCCCCCCAAAAAAGAAGCCACTCTTTCAAGGGAGGAGGAATAATTTGGTCTTGTAGGGATGTAAATTTTAGTAAAATGTGCTTGATTTAATTGCAGCATTGATACACAGAGCAAACCTGTTAAAATACTGATGCTCTCAAACTGCATCTGTTCCATCAAAAAAGCTTGCAGTAATGGCAAGAGTGCAATGTTTCAGAGAGGAATCCTGACTATTTAGCAAGGGGAGAAGAAAGAATCACTGGACAAAACCAGGTACTGTTTGTTAAAGATAATTAATATTTCTTATTTTTTTCCCATTATGAAATGAAAAAATTGAGTATTAACAGAGCAAACACCATCAAACCTGGAAGCAGAAACAAACCCAGCAGAAGCAAAGGTCTAAATCCTTCAATGAGATCTCTGTGGGCCACCCCATGAATTCATGGGGAACTTTCTGGCATTGCTTGTTTCCCAAGGTCAAATCCAAGGTGATCACCATCACTGAGTGCATAAATCTGACTTGTGAGCACATAAATTTTAAGTGGAGTCCCATTTCTTAAAAGTACAATTTAAATAATTGCTTGCACAGCCGGGATATAAATGGGATTTCCAACTACTGGAAATCTCTCTTTTTCTCCCAAGGTTGGACAAAAAGAAAACCTGACGGGAAACCAAGTTAAAATTCATGTTATTCTTATGTATATTCTCCCATTTTGCCTTGAGGGGAATAAAATATTGTATATAAACTCTCTAATTTACCATTTTTCCTGGAAACAGTCTATTCAATACATACTGTATGTTATCCAATACATCTCAGCGTTATGAGATATCAGCAGGGTACTGTGATTCCTCTCAGAAGCCGGTACTGTCCTCACATCATTTCTGTGGAAAACATGCACAAGTCAACAGTTGGTTTTGTTGGAGGGCATTTGCTTTGCTCTTGGTTCTGGCTGCTTGCACGGCTGTGACGTTCCTGCTGTTCAACAGCGCTGTGGTGTCATCTGGAGGAGGAGCAGAGCCAAGGGAAAAACCAGAAGGGTTTGTTCGTAACCTGTAACTGGCAAGGCAAGGCAGTGGGCTGGGATTTCCACCCTGAAAATAGCACAGACTCCAAACATCAGGAGGAATTAGCATTTCCTTAGTGAAGAGCGGGAAGTGGAAATGCACAGCAGTAAGAACGAAAGAAAAATTTGAGTTTACTGAGGCAGTGACGAATGACACAAAATTTGGGTTTGTGGCTGTTTAGTTTTTGTTTGGTTTTGTTTTTTTGTTTGTTTGTTTGTTAATTATTATTATTTTCTAATAGAACACCACTCCTGGAAAGAATAATGATGAGTTCAGTAAAACAAGCTGAGATTAATAACATTTTTTTGCCATATTATGGTAATAGCCTGCGAACCCCCTTTTATTAGTGCATATTAATTGCATTATAAGGCATTTAAATGCCATCATGATCAGTTGGTTTGTTTCTTTTCCTTGTCTGTTCCTGTTATTGCGGGAATATCTTGCTGAGGGCTCACTGGTCCAGGTGCAACATCAATATCTGGGAGACATTTTGCCCTTTCCCCAGACCTGGAGTGTTCCTGCAGTGAAAGGAAGGAGTTTTGCCTTGCAATCCTTGGGATTCTTCCCA